CCAGCACCCCACCCGGTGGGGCTCAGTCCCTGGACCCCCGCTCGCTTAGATTTAGGTTGGCACGTGCGCCACAGTCCGCGTGGCTTCACCCTGAGCCGCACAGGACAGCCCCTCCCCGCACCCGCTCCACCAGTAACCACCGACCCGCGCCGGGCGGTTCCTCAATTCTAACTCGCTTCTCCATTTCTGCCTCGGCCCATACTTCCCCCGCCACTCCCCAACACTGCAGTGCGAGCAGCCCCACCCCCCACACACACCCCGAGTTAAACTCCCACGCAGCCCCGCCCGGGAAAGCCGTCCTGAGTGGCCTCATTAAACAGCAGCTTGTTTTGTTCTCAGCTTTGCCCTCGCCCCGCAGAGCCCGAGGCTGGCATTGCGTCAGCTCCGCTCGGAGGAGCCTGTCATTAGAGCAGCCGGGCGCCTCCACCCCGCGGGCGGGGCCTGGGGCAGGGCCTGGCACCGCCCACTTTCCCATCAGATCCCAGCTCCCATGGCTGCCGCCCTATCAATAGTGTGTTCACCAGCTCAGCTTCTCTTATTTAAAGCGACATAAACATGCGGAGCAGAACACACTTGTAGACTGCGGACAAATTAAGTCATTACTGCCTACGTCTTAGCTTCCAACATCTGCATTCAGACGGCCTCGGGTTCCTAAGGCAGGAGACGTTCGGTGCTTTAGGCAGGGAAGCTCTTTCCAAGCAGAATCAAGGCAGAACCCAAAGGTGTAAAACAAGCACAGGGAGTGCTGGTTCCTTGAGCAAAAAGTTTCCCTCTTTCCCCAAACTCCTAAAGGCCCCGCACAGACCCTCCTGCCCGTCTGCAGTCCGTCCAGGGACAGCCTTCTCCGCGAGCGAGCGCCTGGGGCAGTGCCAGCAGAGTGCTTAGTGCTTAGGGTCGCCTACACCTGCGTTCACGCTCCCCCTCCCCCCTCCCAACTGTGAAACGGGACGTTTCCGGCTTGGTGGCTTTGTCTGGATTCAGGAAGGTGGGGACCTGGCTATCACAGGTCCAAATCCCAGAGGGTCCACCTGAGGCCTCCAAAGCCGGGTGACCCACCCGGCTCATCAGCTCAGCTCGCTGGAGACCCAGACCCAGAGGTCCCGCCGGACCACGAGGGTGCCTTCCGCCTGCACAGCGACCACCGTGTTTGCTGAAGATCAGCCGCCCGTCACTAATGTCCAGTGCAGTGAACCTCAAAGGGATGCCTCAACTGGGAATAACAGTTACCTACACAGGCTTTACAAAGAGCCTAACATTTCACCAAACCACATACACCAAGACACGCTAGAGGGGCCAAGGCAAGCAGAGGCCACAACCGCCCAGGAGCACTGGCCACCTCCGCTTTCTAGAGAACATCCCTCCGGCCCCTCGGACGGAGTTTAAGCAGCGTTTCACCTCAACAAGAACAGTTGCGATTCAACTTTAGTGTTGTCTTAGCGATTTCAGAGCATCTGGCCATTGCTCTGCCTTCCACATGCAGGAGATGGGCTGTCAGTCTCGATTTCATGTGGGAACCTGCCTCCTGTATTAACTGGCTGAGGAAGAAGTTCTCTGATTAGTCATAGCCGCATGCCTGGCCCCTCTAATAACCATCCTGCTGTGCTACCACCTCCTGCTCGTCCACAAATGCTGCAGCATCAGGCCAGCCAGGCCCCTCCGAGGGCCACCTCCCACCGCTGGCCCCTGGCCCCGGGAGCCTGTGATGTGACAGCGGCAGCAGGACGCCAACGCCGCTGCTTACAGAGTAAGCTTCACCTGGAGCAACAGGCCGACCGACGTGCATGCGTTGCGAGGCCTCCTGCAGCAAGTTCCCGACAGGACATGCAGGGGAGGCGCAGGCGGCGAGAGCGAGCAGGAAGCCTCCTCCAGAAACGACCCGGGCCAGCTATCTGGGCGGCAGGAGCCGGGTGGTTTTTAGCTGTTTCCTTCCAGGGGACGATAGAGAAGCTGCTGTATAAAGATTAGTCTGAGAAATGGGAACACAGTCAGTAACCTCTGCATTCCTAAGAGTGGAAAGGCCGGCTCAGGCTCGGAGTGACCTGAGGAGCTGATGCTACACCGACCACAAGTGCTCCCGGCAGGAGCTGCAGCAGGAGCCACGAGCCCTCTTCCCACCCCTTCCTCCCGGCAGGAGGGGGCGCAACAGGACCTGCACAGCCCTGTCCTCTCGCCTTCTCAAGCCTTTCCATCCTCCCCTGGCATCAACCTCTCCCCTTTCTCCTGTGCGTTCCACTCTCGCTGACACCGACACGCCGTCTCCATCCACGTCTGTGGCCACACACAGCTGCCTCGGCCTCACCCAGGCCGGACGGCTCTCAGGCCTCAACTCCACAAATCAGAACCTCAGGCTTTTGTCTCTGCCCCGTCCCACCCCTTCTAGCCTTTCCTGTCTTGGTAAACAGCACCATGACCCACAGGTGCTCACGCCAGAAACCACTGCATCCTTCCTCCCTCGCCGCACATCTAACCATCAGCAAGTCCTGTTCATTCTGCCTCCAAAACACATGTCGAGCCCACCCACTCTCTCCTCTTCCTGCCACCCCCGCCCCAGGGCGCAGGCAACGCCTCCCTGGCCAGTTCTCCAAGCAGCCAGGGCTCCAAAGCCACAAGGGGGGGGAGTTCCTCCCCTCAAACCTCGGTGGCTGCTCAGTGCCCTTCCTCGCCCCTGCCTGGCTCTCCCCTCCATGGCTCCAGCAGCTCGCTCTTCCGCCATCCCGCCCTCCCGCCGCAGGGCCCGCCTGCTCCTCAGGGCTCCCGCCATCGCCTTTGTTCAGCAGACTCCTGGGTGGTACACATCACAACTGTACTCCTGTTCACGTCCCTCACAGAGGACGCGTGGTAATATTTGGAGAAACTGAGTCACTTACTCAAGTGGTTTTAGAATTATTTAAGCCCTTCCTTTGCACTGTGCCTTTAGATGCCAAGCAGGCACTGTCCCTGCTTTCCAGGGGCTCAAAGTCACAAACTGGGAAGCGACAGAGCCACGGGCCCTTCCAGTCCAGCAGGGCTCACCCTCGGAGCCACTGTCGGGGGACACGGCGGGGGCCACACGTGGAACTGCTCTCAGTGGACACTAAGGCGTGGAGAGAGGCCAACTCCCCGCCCGAGGGGCACTGGTGGGCACGGAGAGACCGAGGACAACCACGAGCGAAGGGATGTTCCAGAAACGAAAAGAATCCAGTGTGAAGGCATCAGCCATTCAACCACTACCTCCTGAGCACCACCTGCTTGCCGGACAGACAGGGTCCCCCAGGGACCGCCGTCTACTGGGGGTGAGCGCGGGGAGCACAGAGAAACCTCCAGTCCAGGGGAATACACGCTACAGAGGGCCACGCGGAGAGAGGGCACCTAAGTCAAGGTGGGAGTCCAGAAGGACTAAGGGTAGGGGCCTAGGCTGAGGTCACAGAGCTGAGCCGGGAGAGAGGAGCAGGGCACACACAGGCACCTGCGACACCCGGGGATTTGGCAGGAAGTAACGAGAGCCAGCGCGGGGGCTGTGCCGCCCTGTCCACATGGGGGCCTGGAGCCTCATCCTGACAGCCCTGAGCCACTGCTTAGACAGAGACCCAGCGCAGCAGACCCCGCGGAAGGCAGAAGAGAAGGGCTGAATGTAAGGGGGGGTGGGGGAAGCAATGCCAGGTTTGAGATAACCGGACGGAAGAAGCGCCCTAATACATAAAAGTGGGATCATATGTACACGTGTCAAACTCATAACATACAATATTTCGAGTGAGGCAGAATGTCAGGCATGGACTTGGGTGACATGTGTGGGTGCAGTCACAGCTGTAACAAACCAGCCCTCTGGCGGAGGAGCTGCGAGCAGGCGGCTGTGTGAGGGGAATCAGGCCCTTCTTTTCTGCTGCGCCTCGAAATCTGCTCCTAGAAATGAAGTCGTTTAAAGACGATGACCTACAGGCCAGAGAACATGTGAGTCTCGAGTTCAGCAAGCAACGTGCCCCCGAGTGTCCCCGGCACACGGACAGGAGTCGGTCGGAGCAGCAGGCAGAGCCCTGCCCTCTGCACAGAGGCCCGTGACGACACCCCCGGACCCACGTCCCTGCAGCGCGGTGCAGACATCGCCACTGAAAGAACAAGTTCACGAAGCGTCGCGAAGAGGAAGATTCATCCCAGGTTGTCTGGTTGTTGTTTGGAGAGGGGCGGGGGGCTAGGGTTTCATATAGTAATTACGCTTGTAGTGAGGTCTATACCAGAAACATCCAGAACATTGTACAAGGGACGCACGGAAAATCCGTAATTGTAGTAAAAGTCTGACAGGCTTCTTGAAGAAAGAAAACCCCATCTTTAGAAACTGAGTCAATCAGCTGCTTTCAAATAGAAGCGGTCACTCTGCAAAGCTCCTAAACTGACTGCGTTGCCCTCCTTATGTAAGACCTGCTTTCAAAACAGGGAAAATAAAGGCCGATTCTTCAATTATGTCATTGCCGCCACAGCTAAACATTCGCTTTGTAACTCCAATTAATTTTAGCCTGGTTACAATATTCTTAATGACATAGAGCAAAGAGTATTGCTCTACAGCAATTTTATAAGAATTTCCCAGAGCTTAGAGGCAACCGATGTGAAGCTAAACTGAAATAAACTTGTTTCAGAATTTGTAGTCTGTGGAATACTTATCCTGAGAAGTTCCACGGCTATTAATTTACTTCGGCTGAAAATATTAATGCTGCTAAAGCGCGCTGGAAAGGCGCCGAGACGCATCACGCAGACCAAGTCTATAATATAAAGAAAATATGTGGCAAAGCAAACTCTGGGGATGCAACTCACCATTCCAGGTCACAAAAGTCTTATCTTTCATTTCCAGAGCCAACACCACCACCAAAAACAAACTACACCCTTTGTTTAATCCACTTTAAGTCTCAGAATCTACTCGTCCCAGAGTCCTCCTCACGGCTGACCGAACCCCCTCGTCCCCATCGAGCCCTCGCCTCCCGGGTGCAACCTGCTGGCGCGGACATGGGTCCCCAGGCTCCGCTCTTCAGGAACGTCCCCAAGGGATGGCGACCAGACACCTCGCCCCCCGGGGACACCTCACCCCGTGGCCGCCTTTCACTCCATGTGACTTGCATCCCAGCGCAAGGGGCCCTGTCCCCACCGCTTCCCAGGGAAACCTCAACGCCCACCATCTCCAAGCACCTGTCACCCTGGTCCTCTCGGCCTCTTGTTTTCGTGTCCGACAACAAAAGGCACCAAAAGGAAAACCCAGGAACTAACCGCTTACAACGTGACCTCACGCGCTTCCCACGGCCCCGCCGGCAGGAGAGCCGCCCAAGTTTAGCAACAGTATCAGCAGCCCCGCAACGCGCGCGCC